GTCTTAGAGAGAGGCTTTTATACCAGAACACAGCCGCTGTGACGAAACCATGGAGAGCCGTTAACAGATTTGAACAAATACGCACAAAAACATCAAAATTAGCACAGAAACAGTACTATATAACATTTTAGACACATTCTAGACAGTTTATCAGCTAAAAAAAGTTAATTTTGGGGTAAGTTACTCTTTAAGATAACCATAAAATGAGGGACTTACAAATAAAAAACTACAAAGATGGCCGCCAGGAAAATATCTAATTTAACACTATTTATTCTTTAGAGGCCAGAGGTTCCAGAACATGGCCTACCATAGGGAACAAGTCCTCAGCACTGTTCCATCTCCCTCTTATTTATTATTTATTATTTTTGGCCTCGGTGGAGTCAGCACCCAGCGAACCCCGGTAGTCAATCTATTTATGGCTAGCTATTTGGAGACACGATCTCGAGCGGGGTCCAAACCTGCTTGGCAAGCAATGCGTAGGGAAATGAATTCTTTTTAACCCGACACTCTAAGCCCTAGGCCAGCAGACAGGCTGCCAAACGAACAGAGGAAATCGTCAAACTTCACTCTAGCCCAGGCATTCCAGTGCGTAGCCGGATTGCGTCATTGCGTCATCGAAGCGCAGCATCTTCCGGGCGTACTTCCGGGAATGGCGGAGCTGCTCCACTTGGGTGTTTCTCACGTGTGTTGGGTCACTCGCTGTGAAAAACATATCAATGGCTGCTAGAAAACATTCAATGCACAAGAGAGCCATATCTCACAGCTGGAGAGCTACTCACGCCGCTGAAACTTGAGACTCTTTGGCCTGGAGGAAAAAGAAAATCGAGATGAGAGAAAAGAGGTCATTAAAATCTGTCAAGCTTTAGCCAGATATGAAGGAATAACTTCCAGGCTCAGTCGACGTTGCACAACGCGTTGGAGCGAAGAAAAGCAGCGACACACGCCCCAGAGGTCTCATCATTCGTTTTGCCCTTTGATTTCATCGTGATGCTGTTTGGCGCTCTGCGAAACACTGCTTTCCTGCGAGAGAACAAACTGAAATTTGTTGAGGACCTGTCTGCTGAGGATCGAGAAAGGAGAAGAAAGGTTTTGCCTGGCAGTGGAAAAAGCAAGAAAAGAAAAAAAAAAGATTGTTTTTTTTTTGTCAAAGGACGTGCCTTTGTGGATAGAACTGAAATCTTCCCCTAACTTGACGATAAAATGCTGATTTTTTTTTTTTTTTTTTTTTTGCCAAATAGGGTACAGTTCCCACTGACTTTTGTTTACATTTGATATTGGTAAAATGGTAAATGGTACTGAACTTATAGAGCGTATATGACTCTTATATGTTGCCCTAAAGTTTACACAGTGCAGGCTGCACCTTTASTTCTCTTAAATGAAGGTATTTCCACTAACCTTAAAAAACTATTTGTAATGTTCGTACTGAATAAGGTTTTAAAATTTTATTCTCAGGTTGCTCCCTAATTTTATTTAGGTGATTTGTTGGTTGATTGAGAGCTTCCATTTGTATTGTTAGTCAAAGAAGACTTTAATTTTTATACGTTTACTTCCTGTTCTAACTCTTGTCTTTTGTTTTTTCTTTTTTGTTTAAGTTCTATGTCTTTATCTATTATTTCTTTAAATGTGAGAGGTCTCAGAAATCACTTAAAACGTAAAGCTTTACTTCTTCATTTTAAACAGCAAAACACAGATTTTTGCATTCTTCAAGAATCCCATTCTACTACACATAGTCTAGGAAGGTGGGGGTCCCATGCACCCGAAAGATATATTTTTTAACCTAACTTTTTGTACTCCTTAAGGTGTCTAGTGGATTGTGATGGCTCTTTCAGATTTTTTAGTGATCAGATACTCCATTAAATAGTTTATATAAATATAAAAGAAGACACTTTATATGTTCGGCACTTAATACAATGAAAGCAGAAACTAAATCTTTAAGATGAGCCCACTGAGCTGCAAGGAATCTACAGATGTTGTAGACCCACACTGTTTCTGTCACTTCCTTTCAGGCTGCGGCAGATGCCAGCTAAGCTGTTGCGATTTCCATCACAAGCTATAAAAGTCAAAGTTGCTGGCTTCAAGGCTCCCAGTGTCAGCTGGAATGAAGACGTGCTGCCCTACAGCCCCAAGTGGAGCATGAGGGCTGTGAAGGAAATGCTCGATCTATTGCACTGCAGCATGACAGCAGCTGTGGTAAGAAACAAGAACAAACCCCAGTTGGATTTTATTGTCCTTCAGTTTAACTAATTAAAGACARACTAGCTGCAACATTTTACAAGTGAATCTTAGATTTAAAAAAAGCTGAAAGTTAAAGGTCAAAGCTCCTGTGTGCATCTGTTTTTTTTAAAACACTGACTTTACATAAATTTTCTTCTCCAAGTCTCAAGAGCCAGAGCTGAACGTGAAGCTGTTTAACGAGGATGGAGAGCTGGTCCACCTGCCTCTAGTCAGCCAAGGTCTGGATGAACTCGACTGAAGCACAACAGGTACAAATGTTTGCTTTTATAAAACTAAGATTTTAGACTTTGTAAGGAACTACTGACAGCATCAAAAATAAAACAAATGTGATTTTTTTTCACCATGAAACTTTCCAAGAGTGCAAACAAACGGAATGTTATGGAAATATTTATTTAACAAAGACAGAAATA